ATGTCGATAACTTTTTACCAGCGAATCAACACCCAAAAACGAGTGACCGGTGTTAGGTTGTGTTATGATCTCCACTTTCCCTTCTGCATTGCCATGTAGCGGTACATAGGTCCGATGTATCGTCGTGTTTCCGGGGCTGAACAGGATATGCGTATCATCCACAGAAGTCGCTTCCAAAGACTGCCACAACGCTAGTCATTACATTTGAGGCACTGTTCGTCAGTGGATGATCTGTACGATGGTACCCTGATCCACCTCACTGTGTGTGGAAGACCAACGATATGCGATCGCACACCAGATGCCATGCAGCAGCTTCGACTCATTGATGCAGTGACTGGACACATGCTTTGCAAGCGCCGAACAGCAAGCAAACGACACGACAGGGCCACTGCAAAACATTTTTGGAGCTCTCGGAAAAGAAGCGGTTGGGCATTACAGTTACTGCACCTTATACATCAGCTAAATAAGCACACATCCGTACTGGCCTTGAAGGCGTTTTCTGTGCAGCGAGACCGAGCAGTTGTCATCTTCATCGCGACGCACTTACCGATCTGCCGACATACTGGGGCTGGGCAATGCAAATAACGTGGTCCCACCGGTATACGTAATGACAATTTAGTTGCAGCATCCTTCTCCGGATGTATTCTGCGCATTGAGACGAGCGGACGAAGCTCCGGCTCCCCTCCGTGAGTTCAACGTGTCGACAACCGACACCGGCGCTGCGTTCAGCCGTTGCCGGGCGTAAGCCAATGCACGGGCATCCACGTAGCCATCCGCTGACGCCACCGACGACCCTGTCCGCAGATCGGCGGCATCACGGTGCTGGTGGTGGGCGTGTGGACAGTGGTGGACAAGTCGGAGTTCGAGAAGCTGCTCGGCACCGACCTGTACGTCTCGTCGGCCTACATCCTGATCGCCACCGGCGCCATCGTCTCCCTGGTCGCCTTCCTGGGCTGCCTCGGCGCCGTCAAGGAGATCAGATGCATGCTGCTGACGGTGAGGCTGCGGTGGCGGTGCTCTGAGTGTACGGTGAGGCTGCGGTGGGGGTGCTCTGAGTGGACGGTGAGGCTGCGGTGGCGGTGCTCTGAGTGTACGGTGAGGCTGCGGTGGCGGCGCTCTGAGTGTACGGTGAGGCTGCGGTGGCGGTGCTCTGAGTGTACGGTGAGGCTGCGGTGGGGGTGCTCTGAGTGTACGGTGAGGCTGCTGGCGGTGCTCTGATGTACGGTGAGGCTGCGGCGGCGGTGCTCTGAGTGTACGGTGAGGCTGCGAGGGGCGCTCTGAGTGTACGGTGAGGCTGCGGTGGGGTGCTCTGAGTGTACGGTGAGGCTGCGGTGGCGGCTCTGAGTGTACGGTGAGGCTGCGGCGGCGGTGCTCTGAGTGTACGGTGAGGCTGCGTGGCGGTGCTCTGAGTGTACGGTGAGGCTGCGGTGGCGGTGCTCTGAGTGTACGGTGAGGCTGCGGTGGGGTGCTCTGAGTGTACGGTGAGGCTGCGGTGGGCGGTGCTCTGAGTGTACGGTGAGGCTGGCGGTGGCGTGCTCTGAGTGTACGGTGAGGCTGCGGGGGGGCGGTGCTCTGAGTGTACGGTGAGGCTGCGGTGGGGTGCTCTGAGTGTACGGTGAGGCTGCGGGGCGGTGCTCTGAGTGTACGGTGAGGCTGCGGTGCGGTGCTCTGAGTGTACGGTGAGGCTGCGGTGGCGGGTGCTCTGAGTGTACGGTGAGGCTGCGGCGGCGGTGCTCTGGTGTACGGTGAGCTGCGGTGGGGTGCTCTGAGTGTACGGTGAGGCTGCGGGGCGGTGCTCTGAGTGTCGGTTGAGGCTGCGGGGCGGGTGCTTCTGAGTGTACGGTGAGGCTGCGGGGGCGGGGCGTGCCTGAGTGTACGGTGAGGCTGCGGTGGGGGTGCTCTGAGTGTACGGTGAGGCTGCGGTGGCGGTGCTCTGAGTGTACGGTGAGGCGTGCGGTGGCGGTGCTCTGAGTGTACGGTGAGGCTGCGGTGGGGTGCTCTGAGTGTACGGTGAGGCTGCGGGGGCGGTGCTCTGAGTGTACGGTGAGGCTGCGGGGGCGGTGCTCTGAGTGTACGGTGAGGCTGCGGGGGCGGTGCTCTGAGTGTACGGTGAGGCTGCGGTGGGGTGCTCTGAGTGTACGGTGAGGCTGCGGGGGCGGTGCTCTGAGTGTACGGTGAGGCTGCGGTGGCGGTGCTCTGAGTGTACGGTGAGGCTGCGGTGGCGGTGGCTCGAGTGTACGGTGAGGCTGCGGTGGCGGTGCTCTGATGTACGGTGAGGCTGCGGTGGCGGTGCTCTGAGTGTACGGTGAGGCTGCGGTGGCGGTGCTCTGAGTGTACGGTGAGGCTGCGGCGGCGGTGCTCTGATGTACGGTGAGCTGCGGTGGCGGTGCTGATGTAGGTGAGGCTGCGGTGCGGTGCTCTGAGTGTACGGTGAGGCTGCGGCGGCGGTGCTCTGAGTGTACGGTGAGGCTGCGGCGGCGGTGCTCTGAGTGTACGGTGAGGCTGCGGTGGGGGTGCTCTGAGTGTACGGTGAGGCTGCGGCGGCGGTGCTCTGAGTGTACCGGCCTTGTCTGTTGTGTATGTCACAGGGGCAAGATGCTAAGCTCTGCAAACATCCGCGCCCGCGCCATCTTTGCTGCAAGTGAAAGGCAGCATTGCTTATCGAGAGAAAAGCATTGTTCCGGGCTGGGTAGACGCATCTCTGCCCTTTGCTCGTCTTCCATGGCTGTCCTTGCGCACGGTGGGCTGACCGGTAATTTGTATTCGCTGCTGGAGATCTACATTGCTGACATCCCTCTCCCCTCGCCTCCCCTCCCCCTCTCCCCATGCAACAGAGTCCACCGGCGGTGCAGAAGTGTCCACCTGGCTGACAACCCTCATCTGTCACGGTTGCGCGAAAGGCTCGTCAACAGACCCCAGCTCTGAAGGCCAGCGCTTGTCCGTCCCCAGCACAGCATTGCTGCCGTTCATCACGACTGTGGTATCGCCCCTCCGCCCAGCCCTGACATGGCACCGAAATGTGATCATCATGATGGGCTAACTGTATAGGGCTGCTGCCGGTGTACGAGCAGTGAAGCATTTTGTGCACGTCCAGTTAATCGTGACACTCCGCCCTCAGTACTTCATCATCCTGCTGGTGCTGTTCGTCGTGCTGCTCGTCGGCGGCATCCTCGGCTACGTATTCAACGAGCGCGTTGAGGACACCATTACCACCAAGATGACGGCTGAACTGGACGAGTACAGCACGAAACAGGGCATCAAGGACGCGTGGGATGCTGCACAGAGCCAGGTAAGCGGCGGCCACGGCAGGTGCAGCAAGATGTCACTTAACGCGCGCAGGTGCTGACGTAGGCTGGTGTGGTATGGGCGCCAGGCAGAATTATTATAAAATATCGCCATTAAAATTGATGTATTTGGAATGTCCACCCGGATAGAACATCAGGTTCGAATCAGATACAGATTAATTGCTCACATAAGGTACTTCTCTTCTTCTCAAACAAACTTCTGAAACATAAACGCTTCATTGATATCGACACCGCCGTCTGTCGCTCCTGCACATTAACTTATACAGGACTGTTCAGCGGAGGATAACTCTCGGTCGGAGGGCACGGAAGAGGTCACAACACGGTTCGTGCCACCGGAGCCATATGTGTAGCGTCGTGATCCTGAAAGTATGGCTGGCCGTAGGACGCTCGTCTCACGCAGTTGTGTACAGTATTATATTGTTCGTGGTTCAGTGACTGGTTTGCTTCTCCCCACCTGTGATTTTGTCTCGAGAAATGAGCGTGATTCTTTATGATGGGGTTCGGGCAGCCGTGTCATGCGCTCAAGTCACGGAGGCTCTTTGGAGCCGGGTTTTTAATCGCCCTGATCCGCCTCAGAGCCCTGTCATGATAAAAAAATAGCGGAAAATCCAGGCAAATATACTTCAAGAGAGACTACGACGTTCTGGAGACGTTACTTTATCATCCCCAAACCGAAATTTATCGTGAATCGTCGCTTCTGGGCCTGTGTCGTGGGCGGCATGAATAATAGCACCTGCGCTCTGCCCTGCCCTTGGACACTACCTCGAACGTTGGTTGCCAGTGGTGTTTGCCATGACCTTGCCCACTCCAAGCGAGGCTAATCCCCACCAGTCGGCCAGAGTTAAGTAGCTGCAGCCCCCTCCCCCCGACCGTCTTCCCGGCTCAGGCTGGCCCTGTACCGTCACCGACTAGTCCTGACCCATCCCAAGCTGGTAGTCATCATGCCTGCTGCTCTCCTGGTGACAAATCCTGCGCAATCTCCATCGCGTCTGTCGCTGATCCTACCTAACGCGTCCACCATCCACCAGCAGCCAGAGCGCCGATGACATTAGATCCCCCCCCCCCCATGCCCCTGACCCCGCCCTCCCTGACGCCGTCCACCATCCACCAGCAGCCAGAGCGTCGATGACATCAGATACCCTCCGCGCGCCCCTGACCCCGCCCCCCCCCCCCCCCTAACGCCGACCACCATCCACCAGCAGCCAGAGCATCGATGACATCAGATGCCCCCCTCGCCCCTGACCCCACCCCCCACCCCCTCGTGCGGTCCACAGATGAAGTGCTGCGGCGTGGACCGGCCAGAGGACTGGAAGGGCCGTGTCACCCCGCTGCCGGCCTCGTGCTGCCCCAAAGGGACGGCCGAGCCCTGCACGGAAGCCAACGCCTTCCAGATCGGCTGCAAGGGCCGCATCAAGGAGTTCGTCACGGCGCACGCCACCGTCATTGGTGGCGTCGGCGTCGGCATCGCGTGCGTCATGCTGCTCGGTATGATCTTCGCCATCGCGCTCTTCAAGATGATTGAGTGAGGCACGCTAAGGCCGTCGAAAGGCTGAAGCATTCGCCGCAGCTGCGGACCGTCTTTCGTCGCAGTGGTGGTGCGTCGGCGTATCGCGAGGAGTATTGCAGCGTCGTTTGTTGGTGCGGACGCTCGAACCGGGAGACAGGTCACTGTTGGGAGGTCGGAGGGGTGCTGTTGGACGGTGCCAGGCGCGAGGGTAGGACGCGGACCATACTGGATTGTGAGAGGAATGGGCGCAGGGGCGTCAGTAAGTCCACAACTGCCCCTCCTCGAGAGGCTTGTCTCAGGAATGCGTCGTCCACTGGAATGCCTTCAGAGCGGTTCGCGAAGGTGACGTTACGGTTTGAAAGAAACAGGGGCGTTGTAAGAAGAGTAAGTCTCCATGGCGACCCACTCAAACCAAAGCGCCAATGCCACGCGTACAGACGCCTGGGCGAGGCCACTCTGAGTGGCTCGCGTCTTCGGCGTGCCGTTGCCCCCGACAGGATGCAAAGCGGCGGAGTCCGGTGGAAAGCAGCTCAGGTTCCGCATGGGGACCGCTTCACAAATACGACCGGGGGAGAGAGCATTCGCCCCGGTGAAAGCGTCGGGACTGAGTCATTTCTCGATTTGTTTGGCATGGCGATGACGTCATGTTTGAGACTCTTCACATAAGGTCAAAAGAAAACATTCCTCTGACTCACATATAATTGAAGAGATATTGCTGGTTTCATGGTGAACGATGTGTACGGAATTCTTTTCGGCGAAGCAATGGAAGGACGTGGTGGTGTCGCGGATGCGGGGTGTGTCGTGTTCTTCGTGTGTATATGTCGCACTGCATGTATTTCACACCATGCGCTCTTATTCGCGGCGGTGATCCTAAATAGCGCAACGACATATTCCGGCTGATAGCTGCATGGTCGGCACGTAGTGCCTGGACTTCAAGTAAATGGCGACCACTTCAATGTGCCTTGCATCATCGGAAACCGTGGGCGCCACATGTTGCGTCGCTGTTGTTCCTGCTGCGCATCAAACGCGGATACGTGACGAGAGCACGATAGTCACGTACCGGCCGCGGCCTCGGCACTGTTCGCACATAATACACCGTCGTGTAGCACCCCGGAGTCTGTCTGGCCGGGCGGCTTGTATCTAACCTCGCCATGGGGTGCCCCTCCCCCACCCCCACCCCGCCCCACCCCGCCTACCGATGTGGGTCAGCCGCCGCCGGTGCAGATCAACCGCGTCTCGTGCCGATCGGGAGCAGCGGCTGGAACACGGCGGTCTGGTTCAAGGTCGGCGATTGTGCTACCCCCGTCAGCACGCGCCCACGAGGCAAAGGGAGGATGACAAATGTGGTCGGACCAGCACAGGGAAGTACCACACACTGCAGTGCATCATGAAGAGGGCCTTGCTTCTTTAAAGTTGTTGCATCGACTGATATGTGTCAGTGCACCTGTGTAAGGTACAAGCACCTCAACTTCAGTAGTATCTACGCTATGCACCATGCAGAGGCGTTCCGCAACGGAAACCTTCGCCTTGAAAAGTTGCAGGTAAAAGTCATGGGCAGTATGACAGAGTTCAGCAGTTTGCAGTGATGTATCTAGAGGGAGGTCATGCCCCCCCCCCCCCTCCCCTCTCTCTCTCCGCTGGACTTCGAAGGGACCTATAAACGGCCAAACGGACGCCGTTTTTAAACAAAGCATTATAAAGATAGAAGCTTTTGGGCCTTCAGGTGACCAAGACCAGTCGCAGGCAAAAGTGAGGGTCCGTGAGCATGCAAAATTGATTTTTCGCGCATAACGATTGGTGATAGTGATCTCCCTGGTGGTAATTGGGGGAACGTTGAGGCCTATTGCGCCGTATAGACGCCCTACGCTGTTGCTGGAGGCCCTACTATTCATTTGCCGGGACCGACGATCCATCGACCGATCGCCGGGACGGGACCGACGATCAAGGATCCGACTGGAGGGCCTAAGGGCAGGAGGGGCTGGCCAGAGTCTTATTTAGGGGCCCCGGCCCGAGAGGAACGGACCTTAGGTGACAGTCGTAAGGCCATTGGTGCTGAGCGAGGACCTCCTGAGTCGATAAGGGCCTACATGTTGGTAAGACACCACCAGTTCCGCACCTCCGTTGCTTAGTGAAAAAGGAGCACCAATCAGACTTGTTCACCACATGCTTAACACATTTTGAATTGTATGATATCTTGTACTCATTCATTCAAGCTAAGACAACAACTCTGCGTTAGACATCAACCATCAGCTGATCACATTGACTGGCTGGCTAGCCCCCGGAGTCAGCTACTCGTAACTTAACTTGAAACAAAGTCTCTCGTGACTGATTTTGATGGGTTTAGCAGCTAACTTCAGCCCATTTGGCCATATCGTTCCCGAAATACTTGGCCTCAGAATGACAGGATCAATCATGCTCCAGAAAAAAAAATGAGCGCGTCCCATGCCTGCACACACGTACCACGCCTAGTTTTCTAGGACTGTGCGCGCGAAAAACATCCTGTGTAACAAACAGCATGCATAGAAATCGTAAATTCAGTGCTATGAATGCAAGGATTTCTTCATTTGGAAAGAGCATAAAAACTCCAAGGGGTTCATAAAGTTCCGTGCCCCTTCTCCCCCCCCCCCCCTCGAAAGAATCCTGGATTCGCCTCTGGCCACTAGGGCAACAAGGAAGCTGACATTTTTCTCATGTCATTGCACACGCGCTTTGAAGCTCACCATCCGTAGCTCCTCTCTCGCTCAGGTTCGACCAATCAACATCGAGGACGATGGCGGTCATCGGCTAACCCACCTTCAGTGCGCCTCGGGTAAGACAAATCGGACCAGCAAGCGATGTGAGGGTTCGGGGTCAAAGGGCAATGGAGGGTAGCGGGGCGGGGCCAGCGGGGGAGAGAGACGTCTGACAGCACTCATTCATATGTATGTCACGGATAGAACAATTGCTCTAACTATCGGCCTCGTCTGATGTCTTAATGTGTGCACCACATTTTGGCCAGTTGGCCCTCCGGGCGTCGCCAGGTGTTATAGGTCCTGCGGACTGGGCGATGTTTGGAAATATTGTCCAGTCATCCAGGAAATATCGTCATTATGTTTGGAAGCATTATGCAGTCATCCAGAAAACATCATCATGATGTTTGGAAACATCATTCAGTTATTCTCAGGACTCAATGACACGTGACGGCGGCCGGAGAGTTACCTGGCCAAAACGCGTGCATACTGATACACTAAACGACGATAGCCCCACCAGCTATGACATCTAAAACGTAAATCCTAAAACATCTCCTCAATCCTTCCGAACAACTATCATATTGATTTCTTTGGCATCCCACTGAGCGAAATCTATCACGCTGGTCAAGAAAAGAAAGTAACAGCATGCCAACCCTTGACTGTTCTCAACATTGCGTTAACACACTGATAACCGATGGTTGTGCCAAACGGCTGCATCGTTCGGTGTGTGTTTGCAATCGGTGAGATACGTGATGCTGGGATCGCGTTTCTTACACAGTTGATGTATAGCCGTGCCTTGTCGCTAATTACCCCACCTTACGACTGATCCAATATCCCTTCTGATCCGCCGCCTGTTACGCTTATCATCTCCTCCCTCCTCCTCCCCTGGTCGACGAAACTAGGCCAAACTTTGGAAGGCTACGGCAACGATTGCAATGCTAACGAAAGAACTCGGGGTCTGCCGTCCCTTTGGGATTTGGGATCTTGCCATTACGAAAATTTTGTGTGCGCTTCTGGCGCCACAGAGTTGTGATTTTGCCACATTGCAAGGCAGCCTTGGAATGTGGCAAATGAGGCGCTTCCCCGTGCCCTTTGAAATTACCTGGTGACTGGAATCTGCTCATGCATTCTTTACGTGTATTCCAGCTATGTGTGCCGTGTCGGAAAACAATGCATGAATGAATTAGTGGCTGGATGCATTCCAGCTACACATACGGCTCGGAAACCGAGCCATGAAGAGGTCAGTTCTCCTTGGATATTTAAAATCAGATAGTGTCTGCCCTCAGGTAGGGATAAAGAGAAGTTATGTTGGCGCCTACATCGCGACGCACAGAACCGGGGTGAGAACAGAGCTGATCACTGAGCTGACCGAGAACACAGCGTTGGCGCAGTTACGATGAGAAGGTGGTGAGAAGTGTAATTTATCATTAGATAAGAAGTATTTGCTTATGTTTTCTGTTGATCCCTCCATGCCGTTTCAATAGTTCAGAAATGTATTGCCTTTTCAAAACAGCTCTGGTAACACGGAGCTGACACTAGGCTAGTGTCCGGTTGAGGCGTCATCACTTCGTCATTACCGGTAACAGGAGTAAGCAAATCACAGTCCGTATTCAAAAGCTCCACTTCTCCCTATCTGCAACCGTACCCTTGCATAAGCGTGACCAGCCGTTCCGCCACCATAGACAACTGTAGCCCGGGTATGGCGCGGCGCCATTGTCTTTGACAGCTTATGTTTGTCATTGTTCACGAACAGTTTCAGGCCCGCTGACTGCAGAGGTTGCTTTGCACCATCCAGGTCCGCCAGCTCAGCTGACGCCATTTTTAGCTTGGTTTATGGGTTGTTGAGATTCAATGTCGTTTCACTGTAGCGTCAACGCACGATAATAACTTAGCGGTCAGTTCTCAACTACAAGCGTGATACCAGTGATGCGACCATGTAAACTTACGCTCATGTCACCATTCACATTTTGATGCCAGTCTATATCAGCTACATCACATGAAAGCTCATGACTCATATCAATTTACATAGTGGTGTATTACGTTTCATATGGGTACAAATCGCTTCGCACCAGCACATGACAGGGATGTGTAGGATTGCGCTCGCGACCAATCATATTGTATGTGCATTGTGTTGTACTTGCTCTATCTGATAATTCAAAGGACTTCGTTTCGGCGCGTTTTCTGTGCCCGCAGAACTCTGCTAAAAGCCCTCTACCGCGCAAGATCTCGCAACACTCGAGGAATCGCGAAAACATCAGTACACCCACGCGGGATTCCACCCTGGGACGTGTGACTCGAGCCCTGCCAGCACTCCGCGGCCACGACGACCGCCACAACCACCGTAGCTTTCGCGTTGGTCCATGGCCACCCAGCGGCACAACCGCCGTAGCTGTCGCGTTGGTCCATATCCACCCAGGGGCACCACAACCGCCATGACAACCACCGTAGCTTTCGCGTTAGTCCATAGCCACCCAGCGGTACGACAACCTCGTAGCTTTTGCGTTGGTCCATAGCCACCCAGCGGCAACCCATCAGCCGCATGCAGCATTCCAGAGTGCTCCACCGCAGTGTCCTGCAACACACCAGCCACGGCGACAGGCAGCTCAGT